TTTGTCGTGAGGCGATCCGCTCGCGCGCGCGTGCATTGCAGTTTATGCTGTATTACTTAGTACGAGAGATTATTTTACTATGAACATTGATTTGACGTCACATTTTAGAAGAGAAACTATCGTTTCTCATGCTTTCGAGTTGATGATTATTTTTTTGAGTAGATGAGGAGAAAAAAATATTTTTTTCAAAAAGTAACTTGCATTATTCGATAGTACTACTAAAGGGAAATCGTTCTGCTGCGGGAAAACAACCATTAAAATGTCAGCGTGTATATTGGTACTTTCTGAGACTAAATAGATACCACTGACAAACGGAAAAGGAAAACATCGTGAGGAAACCTGGGCTTATAATTTCTAATTATAAGTTTGAAATCGCCAACCCGCATTGAGTAAGCGAGGTGACGCATTGAGTAAGCGAGGTGATTAGTGCTCAAACCTTATCTATGTGAGAAGAGGCCTTTGTTCGGCAGTGGCCACTTAGACTGTTGATAATGAGGAATCACTCAATTATGGAGACCTGCCTATTTAACATATATTCAATTTCTTTCAGTCCCACTACTAAATGATGACGATCCAGTTGAAGTATGGCAGCCAGATACAAAAGGTAAATCCTATGTAACATGACGTCATGATTTTTAATCTACGAAGGGGTAAGTAGAGACCCATGTATACAATTTAAGACAGTCATATTATCAACAGTTATGTTGAGTACCCCATATAATAGGTGGTGGGCTTATTGGCATACACTGCTGTACAGGCAGAATACGGCATAGGGGCATAATATCCAAGCTTCGTAATAAGGGTTCTTCATTCAGGCTAAACCTATCTGATTTATTTTATTACTTGATCCAAGACAGTTATTCATGTTCCTGGGACGCGCCGGATTTCACGGTTCCGGTGTTCTTATGGTTGTATTTACTGTAGATCATGGCATACACGTGTTGCAGTGGTTTTGGGAGGTTGTGGTGGGCTATATCAGACTATATCTAGGATTCGAAAAATCTCGGTACATAATACTTAGCAATCTCGAGACCGCCTTTTTGACAGTCGAGATTACACCCTCCAGACTAATGAGCCAGTTGAAAGAAACCACTTTTATAAAATGTAACTTTATCATTGAAAGATGGAATTTTAATTGTAGCTTCCTCCTCCGCAATAATAGTACTTGAAGTCATAATTACTTTCTTTGTAGACGGAACAAATTAAAAGATAATAATTTACAGCCATTGCCTTTGGCTTGTTGATTAAGAAACTTGGATTGTTCTTTATACCTTTGTAGCTTTGGAACACATTATGTAGAATAAGTATTGTTTGATATGATGCCCACGGCCACTTTCTATCATCGCACCGCTCGCCATCAACAGGGAATTCACGCTCACACTTGGAGCCCAAATGGTCCCGTACAGTTCGGTTTCAGAGGATTTTTTTCCCACGGACCCTCCGATTGTGGAATGAACTCCCTGCCGTGGTTTTCCCAGTAGGTTACAACATGAGGTTCTTCAAAAAGGCGGTCAATAGCTTTCTTAAGGGTCAGCAAGGGGCATGTTATGCCATAATCATTGCAAGCGTACATAGGCCACGGTAACCGCTTACCATTAGGTGGGCCGTGTGCTTTTTTTGCCTCCGTCTTCCGTCTTGGTTTAAAAAAAGTATCAAGTTACTCTAAATGTTACACGACTTGTATTTGTTGACGACTTGGATAGATGAAACTTAGATAGGTACTTGTTCATTCAGATAATTCGATAATTATTCCAAAA